TCATTCTCTTCAGTTCTAATAGAAAAAATTTTAAATTACAAAAAAACAAATATCAAATTTACTTGATTTTTGGAGTTACAATCTTTTTTTCTAAAACATGAGTATCATCATTTGTACATTTCGATGTTAATAATTGTGGTTCAATATTAGTATTCGATGATTTTGTGATATCAGTCGATGGTTGATTTTGATTTGATGATGTTAATGAAGTTCCTTCGTCTTTATTTAATTCAACAAATTGTGAAAGATTCATTAAAGGATCAACTTGTGATGGATTTTGACTAGTTTCATGGTTTAATTTTTGTTTTGTTACTGCTATTAATGATTTACTAGTTGAATTCTAATATTAAACGAAAAAAAAGATCAGAAAAATAAATCGAAAATATTTTATTTACATGTTTCTGATCTGATGATTTGTATCGAAATGGGGGTATTTGTCTCAGAAATTTCTAAAAAAAAGATAAATATTTTGATTATTAATTGTTTTGTTTTATATTTTGTCTTACTGAAAATTTCGGTTGATGTTGTTCACAATAAATTGGATATTGACAATTATTTTTTCTTACATCTTCGTATAATAAGCCAGCTTGTTGTGCACATGTAACATGAAATAATTGTGAACAATTTTTAACTGTACATTCGCAACAAGCACCTTTCATTGCATCAGAATCTGTACGTCCATTTTTCTTACATAATGAACATATTTGTTGAAAACGTGTTGATGGAATTTCTGATAATATTATTGGTTCCATAGTTGAATTATTACCAAATGAAACTTCAGGTATATAAAGTGCACATATAACATGTGCCCAACCATCATCAGATGTACGTTTCATTGCCCCTTCAATCGTCGGACATAAACGACATGGCTATAAAAAAAAATAACATATTATTAAAAATTTATATAAAACGTTTTTGTTTACTGCTTGAATTTCTCCTGCTTCACATCGACGACAATACCAATCACCATCAGGAATTGATACAATTCCATAACATGCTTAATAAATCAATTAGGATTTAAATTATTTTAATTAAGATTTTTTTTTTCTTACCAGTATGACAAGCAACTGTACATCCTTTTCCATCACAGTAAACAAGTGCATTATTTGAAAAACCTTGATCATCAGAACAGACACAACAACCACCAACTAATTCTTCATTATTTATCATCGTTTTATATTGAAAATTATGATTCGTTTTCGAATTTTTATCATATTTATCGATTGACAATACTGCTTTAGAATTTTTCATTGAGTACAAATAGAACAAAAAAAGGAAACGAACGAGACACTACACTCAGCTGCTTTGTTATGATTCATCATGATAGAGGACGCAACAAATTTTTTCAATGGTTGATCAAAGATCATTGGTAAAATATGGTCATGGACAGAATGGATTTAAACAATATCATGTTTGTTTCTTATTTTGGAATTTACTAAATGGGGATATATTATAGTGTAATATCATTATTTTCCTCACCAACAGAAACTGATAATAGAAATGTTCAAACAAATTCCAAATATAAGAAACGTCGACGTCGACGTCAGAAACAACAACATTTATTAAATCAATTTTATTTAGGATCAAAACATTTTCTAGTTAATACGCAACCAAATACATGTCTTTTCAATGAATATTATTATTCAACTTCAAGGAAAGATTCATTAAATCCTATACATCTACATATATCATTACCAGAAACGAATCATTCAACGATAACACATCCTATTCAATGTACAATAGCGATACGAAGAGATTCATTGAAATTAATTCATTGTCATGATGATTATTGTTCAATTGATTTTACATTCGATGCTGATTGTCCTGTACAGATATACAGTAAGGAAATTTCTCTTTTTAATATTTTATTTAATTCTATTTATTTTCAAGTCTATTTTATGGCACATGAATTATATACAAATAATAATGGATCATTATCATATGTATGTTGTGAGAAAACAAATTATTCAAATACATTTCAACAATCTTATGCATTTATTCGATCTGCTGGTCATGGACAAATATTTTCATCAATACCAAATGACATTCATTTTCCTTTATCTATATTACGTGAAAATCATCATAATTGTACAATGAAAAATCGTGTATATCCACTTGTGATCATTTGTCGAGAATTAAATAAGTAAGAAAAAAAATTTTTTTTTAGATAATTACTATTTTTTTCTGCTATAGAAATTCAACAACGACAACAACAACATCATTTCCAACATTTGATCAATTCCATATTGTATTAGCAACAATAAAACTACTTCGATTAAATGATACAACATTACCCATAACACTTGATCGTGTATCTGTTGTTTTACTTAATCAAAAGCATGTTTATAATGGTATAGTATTTAAATTATTTGAATTATATGGTATTGAAAATTATTCATCGAAATCTTCTAAAACTAATCAACAAAATAAATCTTTAATTCAAATTATTTCAACATCAAATCTTAATGAAAATGAACCATTTTTAAATTCTTCATCTAATTTGGATATATCATTAAATGAAAGCACATGTGTAATTTGTTTAACTGATATACGTAATGTTTTATTACTTCCATGTCGACATATTTGTTTATGTAGTTCATGTGCTGAAAATCTAAAATTTCAATCAACTAATTGTCCTATATGTCGTATACCATTTCGTGCTTTATTACAGATGAATGCATTATATTGTCAAAAAAATTCTTATATTAACGAAAATAATGATGATGATGATTTAATATTTGAAAATATGTCACTTATTGATGCACTTAATTTATCAACAATAAAACAAATTAATAAACAAACCATAACAACCAATGATATGAAGTATTTTTGTAGTGAACATTCAGTTTAAATATCTGTGATATTTCCTATATAAAACATTATATAACTAAGGTAGATTTATTTTATTTTATTTTATTATTTTTTAGAAATTATATGTTGAACTGGTTTGTTTGTTTTTCCTCTTTTTTGTACAAATTATAAATCGATTTTAGTTTTATTAAAAATTAGAGAAATATTTTTATCAAAATAATGTTTATTTTTGTAAAACTAAATAACAAAAAATTATTCTATTCATTTGTCATATGTGCATGAGTAAAAATCTTATGCAAATAAGTTCATGTTCATTAGAAACTTATTAGTTTTGTAGGATCGAGAAAAACAACAAATAGAGAAATAAGATTGAAGATTAATGTTATTGTAAAAATAAACGAGAGAGATTTCTTCAGGGATGTTTTGAGAGAATAGAAACGAGTTTAATAATTATTTTGTCAAGAGTCTATTATGATAGGACGAATATGAAAAATAATCTGTTTTCTTTCCGTTTCCGCTACACCTGACTTTATTAAAAAAAAAACGTTGTTATGTTCTTTTACTTTATATGTAGTTATGATGAGCTCCAATTTCGTCATCTGCTATTACTTGATTAATCAAAATAATTCTCCCATTTTTGTTATTATAAGATCAAATGTATAAATCCGACAGTGGTGGTGGTGCCTGTTACTATTACTTAATAAATAGAATACAATATGCTACTGGTTGTGTGTATGTGTGTGTGTCTATAAAAAGTTATCGAATACTATCATCTAATCAATTTATTTTTTTCTGATATGTGTGTGTGTGTGTGTATACTCTTTGACATAGCGTTTATTTATTTAATGATGATCTAGTGCAATCATCATTAGAGAATTTTAGTAATTTGATTTGTATTCACAGGTGAAAGAAGAGAAAATTAATAGTATAGAAATAGATCAAGGGAAACGTTGCTAAAAAATCTTTTATGATAACACACAACTGCTAGTTTTCTGTCTGGCAAAAAATACAAATGGAGTCGATCAAGCTTATTTTTCCTTGGTCTTCTACTATATATTCATTCTGTTTTTCTTTATGCTTCATCAATGACAGAAAATGCTGTGTAATAAATAGAAGAGAGAGAATACATTTTTTGAGATTGACTTTTTGTCCCGTCAACGTTAATGATCCCCATTTAATGACGACGAACAAGGACAACAAGCCACTTTGTAAAGTCCACAATCATTGTCACGATCAGCAATTAGTGTTGATGCGTTAGTTCTATACATTGACATAATGTTTGACATAT